GAAAGGGAAGGAAAGAAGGGAAAAGAGAAGGGAAAGGGAAGGAAAGAAAGAAAGGGAAGGAAAGGAAAAGAAAAGGGAAGAGAGAAGGAAAGAGAAGGGAAAGAAGGAAAAAGAGAAGGGAAGGGGAGGAAAGGAAAAGAAAAGAAAAAAGAAAAGTGTCCCGTCGGAGCCCCTCCGGTCTTCCGCGTGTACAGGAGGCTCATTCCGCCACGGAGTAACGGCTGCTTTCCAGGGGCTCGTCCCGAAAAGGGCTCTGCGGGGCCCCCACCCGGTTGGGCAGCCGCTGCGCCGGCCTCTCTTCTCGAGGATGACCGGACGGGGCTTTCCGTCTGTCCCACTCTAAACCCCAACCTCTCCGTTCCAGCCGCTTTCGGACCTGCGGGCAACTCGCCAGCGCGGCCGGGCTCCGCGGCTCCTCTTTCCGCACGTGGCCGGGCGCACGGGGAGCTCGCTGGCTGGCTGGCTGGCGGGCGGGCGGGCCGGGTTTCCCCTCGGCTCGGCCCGGGCCGAGTGCCGGCGTTGGCTTCCCCGGCGCGCTGCCCCTCCCTGCGGCGGGCGCGGGCGGAGAGCGAGCGGCGGCAGCTGCCACCTTGTGTTTTGCCCGGCCTGGCCGAGCGAGGCGGCCCCGCGCGCCCACGCAAAAAAAGTCACTTTAGACGGGGCCCGGGGGGGGGGGGGCGAGCTCGGCCGGCTGCCCTTTGCAAGCGGATCCCCGGCTCGACAGCTGGCCAGGCTAAAGTGGGAAAAGCCGCGCAACCCGCCAGGGACGCTCGCTTTTCGGGCAACGCCGCTTCCACTCGGAGCGCCCGTGAGGAGTTTTCCCCTCAGCTTTTTTTTTTTTTTTTTTTGGCGGGGGGGGCGGGGCCCCCCCAATGGGTGGGGGTGGAAAAAAAACCGGGGGGGGCTTGCAAAAAGGGGCCCCCCCCCCCCCCCGCGATGGCAAGCGAAGAGAGGCTGGCTTGCCCGCGGCTTTGGCTGGAGACCCCTTTCCCTACCCCTAGGAAGATATAGGGAGAATCGTGCTCAGGGTGGGCCAGAGACTTTTCTTCTGTCGCCCCCCCCCCCAAGTCCCCCTCCCAGCAATTTTGCTGGTGCTAAGCAAGAGGGAAGAATCATAGGTGGTCTTTTTTTTTTTTTTAAATTTGATTTATATGCCGCCCTTCTCCGGAGTCTGAGGGCGGCTTACAATGCGTTAAGCAATAGCCTTCATCCTTTTGTATATTTATACAAAGTCAGCTTATTGCCCCCACAAACTGGGTCCTCAATTTACCTACCTTAGAAAGGATGGAAGGCTGAGTCAACCTTGAGCCTTGGCGAGATTCGAACCTGCAGTAATTGCAGGCAGCTGGTCTTAATAACCAGCTTCATAACAGGGTGCCTTAGACCACTGTACTACCAAGTCTCAGGTGGGACAGACGGGCGGGCGAGCAGATGTGGGGGGCTGGCTTGGGGGACCCGCAAGGAAGCCCCTTCTCAGCCCTGGCCCTGCTGTAGGGGGCCGGAGGGGAATGCGGGGTTCCTTCCCGAGGTAGAAGACCGATCTGGGTTCGTTGTCACTGCTGGCTGTCTGCGGGTCGCATCGCTGTCCGTGGAATCTCTGGATCCGCGCAGCGCCTTGGGTGATTGAGGATAGGAACCTTCCCCAGGCAACAGAGGGGGGTGGGGGGTGATCAGCATTGGGGGGCAGCCTCTGCCCCTCAAACGAAGGGAATGTAGGGTGCCCCCGCTGAAATCCACCCTCTCTGAAAACCCCGGTCAGGTCAGGCTTCAGGATCTCTTCCGCCCCCTGCGCTTACCCTTTCTGGAAGTTGACTCCAACTTCCAGAAAGGTCTAGGAGGGAAGGCAGCGGTCTGAGGAAGGGGCCTTCCCGTCTATCCCGGTGGGTGGGAAAATCTCGAAAGAAGAAAGCCTGCCCCGACACCCCTGGGCCATCCTGGGGAAAGCGAAAGCCTCCGGATCTTGGTGGCACGCAGTGACATTGTCAAAGCAAAATGTTTGGTGACTCGCAGTTCACTTGTTTCGCAAGATTTTCACGCCTGGCTGTTTGCCTTCTCCCTGTGGGAAAATTGAGGTCTTTTCTACAAGACCCCCCTCTCCCCTAAAAAGTGACACAAAAGTAGTCCTACGATTTCCTATTTGATTTCATTTCTTCTTTCCTTCTCAGATATAAATCATTTTTGTCTGTCTGTCTCATCTGTCTATCTATCTATCTATCTATCTATCTATCTATCTATCTATCTATCTATCTATCTATCTATCTATCCATCCATCCATCCATCCATCCATCCATCCATCCATCCATCATCCATCCATCCATCATATCTGTCTATCTACCTATCTATCTATTTACGAAGAGGGGGACAACCTGAATAGCTTAAGATGCCAAAGAGTCCAAACCAGCAGGGTGTCTGCGTTCTTGGAAGCCTTGATTAAAAAAAAAAAAAATCCTCCAGATGAAATGTAGAAAATGGCATGCAGTGCTTTTTTAGAGCTAAACTCTTTGCCACCCAGTTGTATCACTTGCTATATTTAGCCTTCCAAGATAACGTATCCAATAGTTTAATTTTCACTTTTGATTCTTGCACCGAACAGCTTTAATAGGTAGTTATTCTTATCGTTCGCTCTGCCTCTTCTTGAAGGTGTAGTCTGGGCAGGAAGGTGAAGCATGCATCTATCCATGTGAGATCCTTTTACCTCTGCTTGCTTTTCTTAAAAGTAACTAAATAAAAACTTTCCATTTGGACTGGATGATGGATCTCCTTTTTGGGGGGGAATGCAAAACTTAATTCAAGACCTGAACAATTCCCGAAAATGAGTCCTGCTGGTGAATTTTAATTTTAATCTTTGTTCCTGTTTAGGCTGATATGGTTATAACTCAAGAGTTATCTAATTCAGGAATAGACTAGAGTTTCTTTGACTAGCTTCTGGGTAAATTTTCCCCATTCTTCGTACTTCTGAGGGTAGCTTTTCGAGAGGGCGGTGTAATTTGTAAGAAGTCTCATCCTGGGCTCGATTTTTGTAATGTGTTGGAGATTCGTAATGGTTCCAGTTTGTAAGCTTATGTCTCTCTCTTTCTTTGTTTCTCTTTTTGGGCTGATTTTGTTCTCATCCAGACCCGATGCGAGATGGAGAAATATTTGACCCAGCAGCTTCCTCCCTTGCCCCCCATCCCCGAGCACAAAAAGTACCGGCGGGATAGTGCCTCGGTTGTGGATCAGTTCTTCACCAATGGTGACGGGGTGCCTTACAGCGTCAACATGAACCTCTACCTACCGGATCTGTCCCAGCTGAGAACGGGCCTCTTCAAAGCCCCGAGAGGCCCCGCAACCCACATCAAGACAGAGCCGGTCGGTGCCTTCAACCACCAAAGTGAGGCACCTCCTGTAGTCCCCACCTCTGCCCAGGCTCTCCCCGAGTTTACAAGCATCTTCAGCCCCCACCAGGCGCCGGATGTGAACAGCCTCTTCATCAAGCAGGAGATGTCTGCCTCAGATCTAGGCCTCTCTGTGCCCGGGCCCCAGCAGGGCCAGCTGTACCAGCTCCTCAGCTCTCCCGATTTAGACCTGCCGAATGGAGCGGGGATGGACTCCCTTAGCAACGTCTCCCTGTCTTCCTCCATGACAGGCCTCAACACCCTCTCTCCAGCCATGCCCCAGACCTCCATGAAACAGTTCCATGGGGTGCCCCCCTGCACGTACGCCATGCCCAGCCAGTTTCTGCAGCAGCCAGCCACCTATTTCCCCCCTTCGCCCCCAAGCTCGGAACCTGGCAGCCCCGACCGGCAGGTGGAAATGATGCAAAATTTAACACCGCCTCCGTCTTACGCTGCCACCATCGCTTCCAAGTTGGCCATCCACAACCCGAACTTGACCGCGAGCATCCCCATGAATTCGCCGAGCATCCCAACCGTCAGATATAATCGGAGGAGTAACCCCGACTTGGAGAAGAGGCGGATTCATTACTGTGACTACCCTGGTAAGCTTGAGGAAGGCGGAGAGGCAAACTCTCCGAGAAACGGGCCCGTTCGTCGCTAGCGTTTTTCTGGAAACCCTTCCAAATGTTTTCTTTCTCTTGTGCAACGTGCCAGCCGATCTGCTCGAATAGAGCATTTTGCATCTGGTGTCAAAAGAAGAAAACGTTTAATAAAATAATGCACCTTAAGCACATACAAGGTTTGAACGTAAATGTAAGCCAACGTCATAAACCAGCATCCCACATCTTAAGACCTGAACATTGCTGTCAGCTTGTTGGCTCAGAATGATGGGAAATGTAGTTTGCTCACTAGGGTGGGGAAGACTAGCAGCCATAGCTACTTGAAGAAAAGTGCGTTCACCTTTTTCTTCATGTTTTGGCTGCTGAGTTTCTGCTCCTTGATGTCTTTTTTCTGCGATTTAATTAGAAATAGGTTGAAATAAAGGGTGTGTGTCTTCCCAAATAGATAACAGATTCTGTTACGTGTTAATAACTGATTTTGCTGTTGAACACATAGCTTATTATAGAAGTGGATAAAACATGAGGTGCATAATTATAAGATTCTTGATTGATTAACTGAACTTGCATGTTTATTTATTTATTTATCAAATTCATGTTTCGGACGGTAAATGTATTGAGCTGAAAATTTAGGTGTGATTGATTGTGATTTGTGTGCAACACTAGCAGCTCTCTTTTTGCTCTGGGCAAAAGCTAGAAATTGGAATAAATTTCTTAAATATATTAGGCCCACCCATTAGAACTACCAGCCGTGTTACAGTTTTATGGTGAACGTTACCGTTTTCTACACATAAATGTGCTTGATACTTAATGTCTCTCTCTGATTTTCTATCTTAGGTTGCACTAAAGTGTACACGAAATCTTCCCACTTAAAAGCACACCTGCGAACTCACACTGGTATGTGTTTTGTTTTGTTTTGTTTTGTTTTTGCTGGTTATGATTTTTCTATAAGTTAGCCATCCTGTTTCCTTCTCTCTGGTTTGCTTGAAAAGGTTTAACTAGATCTGCTTGAAACGGAGGGTTATAAATCAGCCACGCTGGTCACTAAAACGAGGGACACTTTTAAGCTTCGGAAAATAAAGAGGGTGAATTTGAACAGTGTATAAATACCCTCTTTGAAGCACTATTACTTTCCATTCACCCCGCCCCCCCACCAGTCCTTTCCAGCTGAATTATGCCGTCACTTAATGCGTCCTGTCATCTTTGGATCGAATCTCTGTGCATCAAACCTTGGTTTAACACCCATGAAAACCACGATTGCGGCCCCTGCTTAGGGTTACGCTGCAAATAAAGGGCCTGGTGGCTCAGCAGACTAATAGCATTGTGATTAACACCAGCTGTCTGCAATTACTTTAAGTTCGAATCTCCCCAGGCTCAAGGTTGACTCAGCCTTCCATCCTTTCTAAGGTAGGTAAATTGAGGACCCAGTTTGTGGGGGCAATAAGCTGACTTTGTATAAAATATACAAAAGTATGAAGGCTATTGCTTAATGCATTGTAAGCCGCCCTAAGTCTCCGGAGAAGGGCGGCATATAAATCAAATTAAAAAAAAAAATCTCGAAGACCCTTACCCTCACTCATTGCGTAAAAGACGTAGTTCGAAAAAGTTGATTTCCTGCCCAGCGGCCTGCCTACTGCCTTCTGCTCAGCGATAAGGCCTACATCAAATTAAATAAACGAGAAAACATTCCTTTTAAGTTCCGTTCCACAATAAACTTGACTTTCTTTCTCAAGTTGACTGGCTGCACTCAGCAGGTGATAAACTTGATAAATCTGTTGCGAGATTGCATGGATTGTCGAACAGGTATTGTCGGCTAGCTCCAAACACGATTTGGAAGCTTAGCAGCTCCCTGTCTCATGTGGGACTTTTTGTTCGGTGGAGGTGGAAGAATGATGAAGCCAGACAGTGTGGCCAGTTGATTCTGCATATTTAGGTTTTTCAGGGTTTATTGAATCAAGTCTCTAGGATAAAACGCTTTTCCAAATAGGCTGCCGTTAGGTGGGTGTCTTTTGCATGGAAAACAAAACCCAATTCAGTCTCTGAAATACGTGGTCAGATCAACCTAGGAGAAGAAACCTCTGTCCGCTAATGACTCAGCACAGATTTGACATAACGCCTAAAATCATCTAAAAAAGGCTTTAAAACGTTTGAGTGACACTCCCGAAACTTTATGTTTCGGCGGCAAAGCAATTTTGAGTTGTCGGATCAGCTCGGTTGCTGCAGTTTTTTTAAAAAAAATATACTGTGTTTTGCAACCTTTGAAATGGCTCCCTTCTTCGCCCTCCTCGTGAAGAGCTGAATCTGGTTTTTAAATGGGGAAAAAGATCTGTGAGTTGGGCTTCATCTGTAAAACAAGGGCCCGTATTCAGCGTTTGCTCATATGTGGAATGACTGAAATATCTCGGGGCAAAGAGTTACTATGGAAATGAAGTTTTTGATAAACGAAGTCCCCGTTCTCTCTCAAAAGGAACAGAGAAAAGGTTAAAAGCAACAGTCATAAAACAAAGTTTTCCAAACGGTTGGAAAAGGTTTTGCTGAGCCTCGATTTCCTCCCTGAATTTTGTTCATCTAGGCCTGTCTCTCTTTTGCTGTGTAGTTTCGGGTGGGTTGCTGTTGGAAAATTTGGAATTATTCTTCCATGGGTGAAAATTCCTGGTGGGCCTAGATTTTTGGTGACACCCAGCACAACATAATGTTGTCTCATTGTTGTTTGGCACAATCTTACTTGGGGGTTTAACATGACCTGCAGTTTGTTTGTTTGTTTGTTTGTTTGTTTGTTTGTTTATTTATTTATTTATTTATTTATTTATTTATTTATTTATTTATTTATTATCAGATTTATATACGCCTTTCTCCGGGAGGAGTCAGGGCGGTGCACAGCCAAAGTGAAAACATAAATACAAAATTAAAATACAGTTAAAAAGATATATATGTGTTTGGCCCCATAATTAAAAAACAATAACAAACCTATTAAAAACATTTTAAAATGTGTTAAGCCAGTTGAGGCTAGTCCGAATTCAATAAACCATGGTTTATTTATTTGTAAAATGTATTGGCCGTCCACCACAGGGTAACTCTGGGCGTCTTACAATATTATGGTTAAAAGTACCTGATCTGTCACTACTGATACTGTAATCCCAGGTCCCTGGAGGATATTGGCTAGAAGTCACTGATCTGTATGGGTCAGGGGTCAGCAACTTGCGGCTCTGGAGCCACATGTGGCTCTTTCATCCCTCTGCTACGGCTCCCTGTCGCTCAAAATATGTGTTACAACTGCCAATGTGTAATACCTGCCCTCACGTGATTTATTGAGCTTTTCAACCCCCGGTAGGCCAACCATGGATAAATCCAAGAAAAGAAAAGTTTCAGAAGAAAACAGAACGTTTAATTCAATTACATATGCTGGTTCTGTGGCCACTCAGGAAACGGGAAGGTTTTTGTGGCTCCCGGTATTTTCTTTTCTGTGGGAAACAGGTCCAAATGGCTCTTTGAGTGTTTAAGGTTGCTGACCCCTGGTGTGGGCTGTTCACTCTTGTCTCACATGAGTCGTCCAAGAGGATTCTGTCTCTTTCGGTTATGCCCAAATGAACAACTTCTGTCAATATGTAGGGAGGACTGAGAACGTTTCTCTGTGGAAAAAATGGAAGAGCGAAGGTGTCTATGGCTTCCGTTTAACCTGCCTTGTGCAAGGAGCCGCCCTACCTGGGCCGTATTTGCTTGCTGGAGGCTTCTAAAATTTGGGAACGATTTCGCCCCTCCCTCCACTGCAATGACAGGGCTGAAACTACAATCTTTGTCCTCATGATTCTAGCCCCGATCCCAGAATTATGGGAAATTCTGAATTATGTGCGAAATTCATACGTCTCCTTTTTTACCGGACTGCAGATCCCATCATCCCTGGCCCAGAGCCCCCATGGTTGGAGCAGGAACGATTTCATAATATGGATGCCCTGAATTAAAAGCTTCTACAAGTTATTTCTTTACCCGTGGCTACTATAAATATTTGGGTGCAACATGTAGTAGCGTTTTTTTTTTTTTCCTAAACTTGAAAGTCGTGTCCTGCGCTCTAGAAAACCTTGTTTATAAAGAGTTGGCTAAAAATAAATAAGAGTGTTGGGTTGTTCGGACAGCCTGGTAGACTAACTGTTGGAATGTTAAAAATGCCTTACAGGTAGTCCTCGGCTTACAACAGTTCATTTAGTGACCATTCAAAGTTACAACGGAAGTGAAAAAAGTGGTTTCATAGTTATGACCCTTTGTAGCATCCCCATGGTCAAGTGGTCAAACTTCATGCACTTGGCAACTGACTCCTACTTATGACGGTTGCAGTGTCCCAAGGTCATGCAATCCCCTTTTGTGACCTCCTGACAAACAAAAATCCATGAGAAAGCCAGATTCGCTTAACAACCGGGTTACTAACATATCAACTGCAATGGTTCGCTTAACAACTGAGGCAAGGAAGGTCGTAAAATGGGGCAAAACTCACTTAACAAATGTCTCACTTAATAACAACAGAAATTTCAGTTGTGGTCATAAGTCGAGGACTGTCTGTATTTTACCCCAATTCGTTTTAACCATGCATTAGTTTTAAAGAACAGATGGTCCTTGAGTTATGACCACCGTAGGGATTGGAAAATTTGTTGTTAAGCGGTACGGCCATTACGTGAAACATCACGTAACTTTACCTGATTTTGCAACCTTTTTTGCTGTGGTTTTTGAAGAAATCACTGCGGTCGTTAAGCAAGACATCGCTTTGGCTGGGAAGGTTGCAAATGATGATCATTGGATGTGGCGATCATCATAAATAGATGCCAAGCACCCAAATCATGATCAATTGACCGAGTGAATTTTGCAATGGTTGTCAGTGGTTGTAAATAACTCTTCTCAGTGCCATTGTAACTTCAAAGGTTTGCTAGAAAAATAGCCATAATTCAAGGACTCTCTGTAATCCAAAACTGAAATGCTCAACTCCAGAAAAAAAGCTATGACTGAACTGATACTTTGTGTAAGAGACAATTTAGTTCAAGTCTGACTTTTAAAAGCAAGCCATAGTCTTTGGCGGTTTTTTTTTCACATCTAGTGCAATAAGCCAAAAATTTTGATTTCCAAATTATCATGGCTCTGGTAGACACTACGCCCAAAACCAACTGCATTATAGGTTAGGTGTGTGGGAATCCTGCCTCTTTGCTGTATAGTTTTTGTCTTCAGGATGTGGCTGCAGTGCAAATCATTTGCACGGTCCCGCTCTCACTGACCTGGGCTTTGAATGGCAATGATAGATTTAACAAAGGAGAATATTTGTAGGGTTGAAATGAGGGCTCCTTGGTGCTCTCTGAGCTTGGTTGTTTCTTGCAGACATTTCATTACCAAACTAGGTAACATCATCAGTGTTAGTACTAGTACCGATGATGTTATCTAGTTCGGATAGAGCAGAGGTTTGCAATCTTAAACACTCAAAGAGCCATTTGGACCCGTTTCCCACAGAAAAGCAAACACCGGGAGCCACAAAACCCTTCCCGTGCCTGACTATTTCTTATGTAGTTGAATTTAACATTCTGTTTTCTTCTGAAACTTTTCTTTTCTTGGACTTATCCATTTATTGAAAAGCTCAGTAAATCGTGTGCCGGCGGGTGTCGCACATTGGCAGTTGTGACGCATATTTTGAGTGACAGGGAGCCGCAGCAGAGGGGTGAAAGAGCCACATGAGGCTCCAGAACCGCAGGTTGCTGACCCCTGAGAACCAACTGCAAAAGAAACAACCAAACTCAAATCTCTTTGCCCAAATGCGCTGCCGTTCCACAGGTCCCCATGGCTGACATTATAAAAAGGGAAATCATCATGCAGAAAAGGATGTTTTCTAATAGAGAGAATCGGAGCTTTCAGAATAAAGCTTGGCA